TGTTTGGCCTTATTTTTGTTTGTAGGCCCTAGGCACGGTGCCTAAAGTGCCTAAGCCTTAATCGAGCCTTGGTAAGTCACTGGTCAATGCTCATTGCCAAAGATATCATATATGATTTGATTTCTATTATCATTCATTTCATTGATCAGTCTCATTCAAAAATTGTTTGGCAATGTCACTCGCAAGATGGCGACACCAAAGAAAAATTTATTATATTCAGCTTTATTCACAACCAATGTTATAGAGAATTTATTGAATATTGCTTTTAGTAATGGTTAAAAATCAATAACAATATCAAAAATAATTATTGGCAATACCAATACCAATATCAAATTTCAAGAAGTATTGCAATATCGTCCCAATACTTAAAAAAGTATTGGCAATACTACCAAAACCAATACAATATTGCAATATTAACAACCCTGGTATTAATGTAAAATCGTACTATTTGCACACAAAAAATGTATTTTGTGATGACTTGCAGGGGCATTGTAAAAATTCTTCCATAATAGTGTGACTTCACTTCTGGATGGTCCGAAATAATTCATTTTAAGATCTCATTGACCAGTTCAAATGTGTAGTTGCTAAAACAAAAATTTAAATCTCTCTTTTTTTTTTTTCTTTTTTTTTTAATGTCAATATTAAATTTTATATTTATCTGTATTCCATCAGTTTCGGGGAATAATACTGCCAAAATAACACTAACATTCATGGAGTAAAAGTAATGTAAGTAATTACTTTTAAATTTTTTAAATATCTAGATCTATTTCTTTGTTTTCATTGATCTTAAACGTTTAATAGTCAATATAAAAAAAATATATATTTATGTTTATGTATGAGCGTTTATATATTCTTGTTTTTATAAGTGTTTTCTGAAGATTTTTTAGGGATTAAATGTTTAATTCATTTAATGTTTGTAAACTTCCCCAAAATTCAAATAACTGTAAAATTTGTCATCATACTTGTAGACTGCAGAGCTTCAACTTACCAAACATGATAAATGAAGGCATTTTCACAAGCTATTAAGGTTAATAAATGTTCTTTTGTCAAAATATGATGTTCCCTATCAAAAAATATATATGGTTATACTTGAAAGTGTTCTCCTATTCAATGATTCATGGTTCACAGATCAGCAGTTCAGGGGAACTCCTCGGTTGCAATACTTAAAGTAACAATGCCTGTCAATGATTGGTACTACTTTCCAATGTCCAGTGTTGTGGTAGCCATAAGTCATGGAAATGTCAGTGTGTACATGCAAAATGTCCTATACAGGGCAACTAGGATAGACGTCTTCAACTTTCTTATTGATGCATTAAGAAATGAAGAACCTGTAGGTTAGTAAATATGTTTTTTTACTATTTAAGACTCCGCCTGTTAAAGAAACGTGATTATTAAAAAATACTCTTTCTGATTTGATTAATTTAATATTTTCTTTTCTTAATTTTTCTCTAAGCTTTACTTAGATTCAATTCTCCTTCTTTGTAAGCAAACACAACTTTGATTGATTGATTAAATGCATGTGAAACATTTTCTATTCTATAGATTTCAACATTTGTGACACATACCTTGGCTATGAGCTGTGTGGTGAAGAAAAGCATTGTTTTTCTTTGCAAGGAACTGGCTACAGATGGGACAAAGGTTTGCAAGTGTGAAGAACTGTTTGTTTTCATGAATCATATGTATACTAACTTTTAAGACTAGCAGTAATTGATTATATTCATTTTAGTATGTCACATCTTTTTCTTTTTAGTAAAATCTGTCATGCTTAAATGTATCATCTTCATATTTTCAAAATGTCAGATTATAGGCCTAGTTATTCTCATTCACGTAAATGTGATTAAACAAAATTTTAATGTTTCATTTATTGGAATGTTGTGGATATTGTAGAACAAATGGCTCCTACTTTTTAAAATGCTAAATCCACGTTAGAAGTTTATTAGCAATTATAAAATTATATATTGCAAGATGGGCTTTTTATGCTATTGATTATCATTCATTGGAAATGATTTCATAGACCTGAACCAAAGCTGGTTGGGGCCCTCTGGTAATTCCTATTCATGAACTCTTCACACCCCCAGAGATGTTTTGCCCTAATGGCAAACCATCTGGCTACCTCAGAAATGCCAAAGGGGTAGCTTTCTTTAAATTAAACCTTACATAAAATAAGGACTGGATTTCCTACCTTGAACCACTATGACCTGGGGCAAAACATGATCTTATGGTTTCACCGAATCAGATTGGAGATCTTCACTGGCACCTTCTTTGGAAGGATTCCTCAGTGCTATTGACAACTTAGAGCCTAGTAGTATTTATTTCTAAAGTGATCCTGGGCACTACTGGCCCCTACATTAAACACCACATCATAAGAACTAGCTAGCGCTGGGACATAATGGCGGCCGTAGAGACATGTCCTCATAGGGGGGTTGCCTTTATTTTTCATCATCGATAACATCTTTTTTATCTACTAACCTTTAATGGTAGCTGTTATCATGATCCCTAACCCCAGTGCCTTACATATTTGCCTAAAATATCCATGTGGCATTAGCAGGTAAGGTGGTTGTGTCCCCCTGGAGATTTCCTAGGTCCCATCTGACAAAAACAACCTAGTCCACCTTAAAACACATGACGGACAGACTGGGCCAAGATCAGTTGCTTTTTTAAAATGGGTTTTATCTAACACTTTTTTCATCAATTTTCCAGATTTTTTTCAAACAATTTAGTTCAATAACAAATATTTGTTCATCCTCAGCGTGCCCACCATTTAAGTACAACTATGCTTGCTCTAGTGATTGTAACTGTGTAGAAAACCAAACAGATTACTGCACTTTTAACTATGGACAATGCGTCTGCAAGCCAGGATACACTTCATATGACTGCTCTGTGGATATAGATGAGTGCACGAATGCTTCTTCACTTTGTCCAGAATACTCTGTCAGAATGTGCCTGGGAGCTTTAACTGTATTTGTAGGGAGGGATTACAGATGAACTTAGAGGGCTATTGCGAAGGTAGGTTTAACTAAACATTCTCCATTATAAAAGATAATACAGATATACATAAATATATGTTAAGAACAAGATATATATGAGATTGGAGTAAAAAGCACACAATAAAATGACTGTGTCAGTGGAATGCTTCCACTTGGGGAACACAATAATGCAAAACACAAGAAACTTTGATAAAAAGGGGAATTATATTTAACTAAAATGGACAGAAAGAAGATTAAACGCCTAACATAGAAACATTAGTAAGGACTACATAGGAAGTATAAGGTTTAAGAATTTTTTTAATTAGACTAATGGGAAATGCTAATGTCTCAAAATTTGAATATAACATTTTGATGAAAATGGTGGGGAACTGAAGATCACCAGAAACGTGTACTTGATTAATACCCAATGGCGATGTGGTGAGAAAACTTTAATGCATTTATTATTATTGGAGAATACATCAGACATGGAGTTATTTTGTGTGTCTCTGTGAAAATGCGTGAGATAGGGTGTTGTTTATTTTGCCCAATATTTAGAAGATGCTAGCTAAATCTACCAGACTAAATTCTTTCTTTCTCACCTATATAACAAGAATGACAGGAGTGAGATCTTCAGAAATCAAACACATAAATCACATTGTAACTAATAAATGTAAAGCACTTCTTGATACTAAAATGACAGTTGGCAAGTTTGTTTGTTTAGTTGCAAGAACATACAGCCATGTAATTCAGCTAATAGAGAACTAGAAGAACACAAATTACCTCATAATTCATATAACTGGAAAAAATTTTCATAGAAATGTTGAACCTCTAATGACATTAGTTGTTTTTTGTTGTTGTTTTTTTTAATGTATTTTTTATGTCAAACATTTGGTTTTCTGTGTAATATAAATAATAGTTGGTCTTTTTTACTTGAGAATTTATTTAAACTCGTTGCCTGTAGCAAAAATGTTCTACAGTTTGTTTCACAGAAGCATAAAGATGTCATACTTCTGAATTTTTATCACATTTTCATTTTCCAAAGCCTAAGTGTAGCAGGCCTTTTTAAAAAAAATATCTGTTAAAAAAACTATAAAAATTCAAATAGTTCCCCGTGTGTCTTCATCAATGTGCACTCATTTCATTATATGTTACAATATTCAAGATCTCTCAGTATGATTCTTTATATTCATTTTTGGATTGTCTTTGATATTTAGTTGCTGCCAATGCCACATGCCAGAATAGGACCTGTCCTGACATATGTGTGAAGGTCAGATCAGACATCAGTGATGTTTTAGAGGAGCAATGCTTATGTCCCACTGGATCATATTTCACTAATGAAACTTGCCAAGGTATATAATATCCCTTAATTTACCCTATTTTATCAAGGCAGTTACAATGTGGTATTAATGGTATATTAAGATTTTTAAAAAATACAAAATGACATAAAAAGAAGGCCAAGAATATATTTTTGTCAATTTATTAAGTAATTATTAAGAAACTTAATTTTTCCCGGAAATCTCCATATTTAAATTAAATATTGACTTAACAAAAATGATATTTCTAGCCAAGTGAAAAAATTAAAAAATTAAACAAGCATCTCAAGAATTGAGAACAATCCACATTAGACTGTTAAGGGAGCTTATAAAATGGTTAAAAAAAAAATATAAAAAAACTAGACACAGTTATTCCCTCTATTTGAACAAAATTCGTACATATTCACTAAGTTAATACTGTTTTTGGAACAAAAAAATTTGTTTTCTTTGCCTATAACATGAATGTTTTTGTTTTTTTAAATCTCTGCAATCATACTGATTGAAAGGAACAAGAAAAGACCTATTTGATCTCTTATGCTCAAAAATAAAAATCTTAAAAATCATACCCCATCAAGCAGATGAAAGATTTGAATAAAAACCAATATACTTACAATATCGCTCACAAGTTCCATTAGAATTCCTCACAAAACCAGGATGACAGGTGCAAGTGTAACCTCCCAGTGTGTTTAAACAATATGCATTGGGTCCACAGTAGGCAGTGTAACATTCATTGACATCTTCTGAACAACTTGAGGAAGTCCAACCAGCCAAGCAGGTGCACTCACCAGTCCTTGCAGCACAGGAAACGGTGGTATTAGGTTCACAATTGCAAGTTAATTCACAATTTTGGCCATACATGAAAGGTCCACAGTCTGAAAATTTGAAAAAATCTTTCATCTGCTTGATGGGGTATGAAAATGCAACTTTTTTTTAATTTTAAAAATCCAAAATTTAAAAAAAAAGTTGCATTTTCTGAAGAGTTGAAACTTAATTATATGAATATAATATGCTTGGTATGAAAACAACAATCCTCTTGAAATATTTGGGCTAAAAATCATGCATTGAATATTTTGAATTTTAATTGGTTTCTGTTTGGAAAAAACTGAAGTGCCATTCTTATTTTTGTATGTAATCAATCTCAGACTGTCACACTACTCTGAGGGCAAGCTCTGGTACAATAATGTCACCTAACTGTCCAGCCAATTACTATATAATTGTTCATGGTTAATCACAGTGGAACAGACATCATTTCAATCAGGTAAAATAAAATTGTAAAAAATTCAATTTCTCTTTATAAAATGTGTACATTTAGCTATGCAAGGGTAAATTAAAATAAAAAAATTGGTTTTCAAGACTGTCTCTGTAAAATATGAATAAATTATTTTTATCAATACTAAATATTCTTCTCCACAATGTTGTAAGTATAAATAAATGAAATGAAAATTATATAAGCTTAGTTTATTGAACAGTATTTAATTTTTTTAAATTTTATTTTAAAGTTTAAAAAATAAACATTAAGAAACTACTAAGTAGGTCTTAATGTCCATAAAGTGTAGGGGATGCAGGTGACAAGACATGGAGGCCGTGGGAAATTTTTGGATGAGAAATGTGTACATTTTAATGTTTACACCCAAACACATGCTAAATTACACAAAATAACCTTGCATAATTNGTATTCTTTAGGGTTTATACCAGAAAGTACTTAGGTAGTGTGTGATGACTGGAAGGGTCTCATGATGGGGGTAATGTGGCATGGGAAGATGGAGTATTATTTAGGGTTTATACCAGAAAGTACTTAGGTAGTGTGTGATGACTGGAAGGGTCTCATGATGAGGGTAATGTGGCATGGGAGGATGAAGTATTCTTTGAGTTTTATACCAAAAAGTACTTTGGTAGTGTGGGATGACTGGAAGGGTTGTGGAAATGAGAATGTGCATGGGTTTTAGAGTTAATACAACGTTGATACCTGAAACAGTATATTCCAGACTTAACAATCAAAGATGGATTGTTTTGTAGCAGCCCTTTCAGTGTTACCTGGCCATCTCAGGCAATCCTGCTGGAAGAAAAGAGAATGAGTTTGGATCTTAGAGTTAATACAACATGGTACCTGAAATAGTACATGCCAGACTTAAAAATCAAATCATAGATTGCTTTGTAGCAGCCCTTTCTGTGTTACCTTGCTTTCTCTGGCTATCCTGCTTGTAATAACTATTTCTTTAACATCCAGTAAAATGAATAGCATTTAATTAGTTAGCAGATTAAAATCCCTTGTTTTCTTTCAATTTCAAGTTTTAATTTTGTCACAGGTTCCTGGAGTTGGATACAGAATGTAATTACCATTACGTTACTGTGTTTGATGGAATGGACAGATCCAGACGTCTAGGTGCCTTCTGCTCAATGACAAACTTGGTTCTTGCATCTACATCAAACTCAATGTTTGTCACTTTTACAAGTGATGAAATTGTTACAAAAAAAGGTTTTCTTCTCTCATACAACTCTTTTGGTAAGTTATTTTTAAAATATAATTCTGATTTTTCTCTACTCTTTCTTTTATTGTCCTTATTTACAGCTTCCATAAATTCGTATATGATTTCTGTGATCTTCATACAGCATCACTTGATGTTTGATTCCTTGCCTCTTTCCAATTGAAAGATCTAGAGTCCTTTAAAATTTAACATTTTAAATGATCGTATCCTAAATTCCGATGAAGCTGTTTAAATGGCTGATCAGGTACTCAGGAATTTATCCTAGCCAGTCTAGGTGACTCATTTATTGATTATAATATGAAGACTTTTTATGCAGAATTTTTATCAAAATATTTCTGAAGTTTTACTTAGCTATTAAATTCTGTAATTTAAAAAAAAATTATGAATCATTACAGTAGTATAGAAAAAATAATAATGCCCTATTATCTATGGACACCCCATGCCACATTTATCACACAGAGAAGACTGTGGCAGAATGTGTGTAAACACTATGATGAACAGAATGGGTTTTCTTTAACCTGATTGGCGATGCACTTGTTTCAAGGCCATAGGTATAGCTTCCATTTCTGCATCGAAATTCGTGCTATAGTTTTCACTCCACTCAGCCCTGAAATCTGCTCACTTTGAGATACCCCCTTTGGGTACTAGATGAGTGCTTCATAGACAGCTTCATTTTCAGTGATGTAGCAAGAGCTGTGAGTAAAAAGTTTGACGCAAGCATCCTTGTAGGTCTCAAACTTTTTAATCATCCAGAGGGCTCGACGTTATAACCAGCGCATTTTCAAGTGTCAGACATACATCAGGAGTTTCAAAGTTTTCATGTGTTTATCTCTCTATTATCAGCCACATCTTCTCACGGTTTTCGGGCAAAAATTGCTTTCTCTTGAGTTCACGGAGATGATGGAGGGGTCTTTCAAGCAACGTCTGCCTTACCCGCTGGTCTTGCAATAGAGTTCAGTGTTCCGTTATTTCCATCCAAGGGTATCTTTCCACCCTGGTTAGAATTGCTTTCTCTCTTCTGATGTTGAATGGTTGTGAGTGTTCTGCACAGCGCCCCATGCACAAACCTGAGAGCCAGGTTCTGTATATGGTCCAAACCCTAGAGCCATTCACTGTGCAAAGGATCAGTTGGTTATGGTCAATGTTTCCCCTTTTGTTCCCAAGGATAAAGCTTTCTTAAAGATTATATGTCCGTTTAAGATGGCTATATTTCTATTACGTACAGAGCATGTCCACCGCTCACGTATGGCCCAAACTGCTCTTATGCTTGCAACTGTGACCAAAACAACACCCGCTACTGTAATAGAACCACCGGTCAGTGTATCTGCAAGTCTGGATGGACGTCCTACCATTGTTCAAGGGATGTCAATGAATGTGCAAATGCTTCTAACCCATGCCCTGAGTTCTCCAGCTGCAGTAACTTAAATGGAAGTTATGAATGTCTTTGTTATGAAGGTTTGCAGAGAGATAGAGAGGGATTATGTGATGGTAAGCAATCTAAGTTAGATGTGGATTATGTGATGGTAAGCAACCTAAGTTACTAAGTTAGAGGTGGATTATGTGATGGTAAGCAACTAAAGTTAGAGATTGGATTATGTGATGGTAAGCAATCTAAGTTAGAGGTGGATTATGTGATGGTAAGCAATCTAAGTTAACAATAAGCACACAAAAATAGGATTCCAATCCACTGTTCATGATACCATCCTACTTCAGGTATTTAGATAATGCTAAGCAGTTTGAAGCACTGCCCCCCCATCCCTGTTTAACATGTAGATAACATGACAAGAAGCTGGGCTGTGACAATCAAAGATTTGTATTAACGTTAACAGTAGAATTCTGAATAATGTCATGTCATAATTGTTATCCCTGTTAAACATGTAGATAACATGACAAGAAGCTGGGCTGTGAAAACAAAGATTTGTATTAACGTTAACAGTAGAATTCTGAATAATGTCATGTCATAATCGTTATCCATTTGGAGAAGAAAAATCATCTAAAAGAATATATGAGCATTCAACTGATTCTCAATTCTTTACAACAGGGATGGTGGGAAAAAATGTAGGTCTTTAATACCAGCTCAATACTACAAGACACTTGATAATAATTTACATTAATAATGAAAGCTGCAAAAGAGTTAAAGTAGGCCTATTTAAAGTTACAATATTTAGTGTAACTAATAAAATTTGAATTGTCATGTTTAATGTACCATCCCTATTGAATAAAATAAATTTAATACCTGAAAATATGATTGATATTTCTCTTCAGAAATATTTCAAAGGTTCTTTTTTTTTTTTTAATGCTTTCTGCAATACTTCATATTGCAGCTAAAAACGATTCAATATGTACACGAAGAAATTGTTCACATGTTTGTGCAAAGATAAAGAATCAAGATCAGAGTTTGGTGGAACACTGCTACTGTCCTATAGGCACTGAACCGATTGGAGATATTTGCCAAAGTAAGTCTTATGAAGCCCCCTCCCCACCCACCCGTAGGTAGATCATTTGTAATTATTAGGATTTAGTAATTTATGAACATGTAGAATAAATTATTTTCCACCATTTCATTTCTTCATGTCAAGAGTGTTATATTTTGGATTATATTTTGCTGTTAGGAACAACTCTGAAGATTCATTATTATTAGATGCATCCTCTGAATTATTGTCTGTTTGTATTTCAACACACATATAATAAAAAAAACTATATAAATGATAAAAGCAATTCTTTTAAAATTAAGTGGTTCACTGTAGTCTGGGGAGTGCAAGTTGATGTTCATATTAAATTCAAACTATGCTAATAAAATGTTTTTAATCATTGTAACAAGTTATATTTTCCTTTCTTTAAAAATAAAATTCTGGTCTACGTTGTTGATGAAACAGTAAGATCAGACATTAGTCTTTTTCAATGACTTTTTGTGAAATGAAAATATGTTATTATGTTGGTTTTTTTAATATTTGTTGATTAAAGAATGTTATTTTTATCAGTCTTGCCTGGTTGTGGCAATGGTACTTATGGCCAAGATTGCAATGCAAAATGTGACTGTGTGACAGAAAACACTGCCTCTTGTAACCCAGTAAATGGCAGGTGTACCTGCTTGCTAGGCTGGACATCTAACGCGTGCGAGCTTGATGTGAATGAATGCTATCAGTACAACATATATTGTGACTCATACAGTCAATGTGTCAATACACCTGGAAGCTATGAATGTGTGTGCTTTCCAGGGTATGAGACCGGCCCATATGAAAACTGTGTTAAAGCAAGTAAGATTGTTTTTAAAAAAAAAGAATATTTATTTTATTTTAAGTTAATTTTTATGTTTGTTTGTTGTTTTTTTTAAAAAGAAAGGGATTTGTGTCATTCCCTTGTAATTATACACAACATTGAATGCTTGTCTTTCAAACCTCTGCAATTCAAGTACAGAGCAAGCCAAATACTTCAGTACTAATCTTGATTTTTTTACTCTTCATTGGCTGAGAAAAGGGTTGTTAGGATAAGATAAGATTATTTTACTGATCTTATCAAATTGAAATTAGTTTGGATTATTTTTAAAAATTCAATTTGAGCATATTAAATAAAAAATATAGATAGCAAAAAAAAAAAAAAATCTGATTAATTTACCAGCTTTCAAATTTCACAGTAAATGTAACTTTGGAAAAACAAAAGACAGTCATCCTGTGTCATCCCACTAATCTCTTTATAGCTTACAATTGACTTCAGAATAATTATTAGATTTAATCATCCTGTTTATATATATATATATATATATTTAGATTCAGATAAGTGACTGTAAGCTAACAAGTCGAGTTCATTCTGATCATACTACATTTTATAATATTATTGTATGCCATAAGTCCAGTTCATTCTGATCATACTACATTTTATAATATTGTAAGCCAACAAGTCCAGTTCATTCTGATCCTACTACATTTTATACTAAATTGCTTGCATTTTTTTCTTCCCTATCTGAGGCTGTAACAAAACTTTAAGCAACACCACTGGCGTCATCAAAAGCCCCAACTACCCCGTGAAATACTTTGATAACACAGCTTGTTCATGGACCATTCAAGCTCCAACTGGCCATGTGATATCTCTTAGGTACAGCTTATTAGGCATGGGCATTGTTACTTTCTTTAATAAATCATTAGGCATCATGAAGTGCTTAAAATAAATGAGCAAACACCAAAGTGGAAGCATATTCATTTCAAAATTTAACATTAAAAAATATTTTACTGTTGAAAGAGACACACATGACCCAAATATGTTTTAAAAATGATTTCTACTATGCACACTTTGTTTCTGTTTTTCTAGATTTTTCACTTTTGCACTGGAAAGGCAACAAAAATGCACTTATGATTCATTGAGTTTTTATGATGGAAGCTCTTCACATGTCAGGAACATTGGTGTCTATTGTGGTCTAAGAATACCTGGTCTTATTCGCACTCATGGCAATAACTTGTACATTGCTTTCAAGGGGGATGGATCTGTCACCTTTATGGGTTTCTATGCTGCTTACAGTTTCCATGGTGAGTCAACTGTTGCATTTACAATGGAAGGAAAGAGCCTCGTGCTAAATTATTGTGTTGAGAGGAATTTTTTATATTTTTTTTTTTGAAACAAAGATTTTATTTTAAATTAAAGAACTGAAAAAATCAAGGGTGTGAACTTATTGGATAAAGTATTACATTGAAGAGCTAATGAGTTTAGTGTACCACCCCAAATGGGACAAGACCTTTATAGTTTATAGCCATATAGCAATGTTTGTTCAGTTCAATTTTCTTGTAAATTTAAACTCAACAGTCTGTGAAGACTTCACTTATGGAGACACTTGTAGCATGAGGTGTTCATGTGACAGGAACAACACCCAGTTTTGTGACAACACCAATGGTGTTTGTGTGTGTAAGCCTGGGTGGATGGGAGGCAACTGTTCCATTGACATAGATGAGTGCCAGGCTAGGAATTGCCAGGACAATGAAGTTTGTGAAAACAGCCCTGGAAGCTTTTTGTGTACATGTAAGCCAGAATATACCAAAAATATCACTGGACTTTGTGAAGGTTTGTGTTACCCATAACCTCTTCATGCTTACTTTCAACTGTTTCTCACATCATTAGACTTCTGCATCTGCTTTTAAAAGATTTTCTACTAACTATATTAAATAAAATGATGCAGATACTCTCCTTTTTAAAATGATGTTTGTTAAATCAATGCTATACATTGTACTAGTATTTGCTACAATAAAAACCAATCTTCTAGTAGTACTCAATTATACATTTGACGTTTCCCAACAAACTACTTTGTAAATGTTTTAAAAATCTAATCTATTCCTGTTTTTATTTTTTTCAGCTCTGTCCAACTGCAAATTAAAGAACTGCTCCCACTCATGTTATATCATGAGTCCTGGTGTAGAGCAGTGTATGTGTCCTGATGGTCTCATCTTGGATAAAGCAGAACATTCAACTTGTGTTGGCAAGTATTTATTTAGTCTCATTTGATTAAATACTGTATTGTATGGCATCCTTCCGTCTTTGTGAGACGATGGAGTAGCTATATAGTTCTACACTTTGACGAGTGGCTCACTAGGCCAATCCTAGAATGGCAATCATGGCTGCATCTCTCGCAGGAGAATATTGAATCCCGGTTAATTCTTGATTTCCGAATTGTTCTTTTTGATTCAAGAGCCTCGTTTCGAGTATCTTCTGCCTTGTTTACTCCTTCAAACACCGCTGTTCGCCAGTTGCAGCGATGTTCGGCAATGAACTCCCATTCGTTTGTTTCAATATTGGCTTCCCTCATGCTTCATTTGCAAACGTCAATGAATCTCAGGCGTGGTCGTCCAATGTGTCTTGCCCCTTCTGCCAACTCTCCATACAGCAGAATCTTTGGGATAACTTCCTCCATTCTCCGTACATGACCTAACCAGCGACGGCGCCTCTTGATTAGAAAGGAGAATATGCTAAACATGTGTGCACGTTCCAAAACCTCCACGTTAGGCACCCTGTCCTGCCAACGAAGATTTAACGAATGATTAAATACTATGCACACACAAAAAGAGGTGTTTTTTTTTCTTCTTTTATTGTTGTTATTAATTACCTAAATGCGAAAACTTTTAAGAACGTAGCTATTTTTTGGCGAGTGGAATGTAATGCTATCATTATGTGATATATGTACAAACCAAACGTTTTCATTTTTCCCATTGTTTCCAATACCATCTGCATTAACATCTGCATCTCTTTCCTTCTTCCAGTTCCCTTTTACCCCTATGGATTTACCGCAAATGATAATGTGTTGAAATATGACATGGATGTTGATAGATTGCCTGATGGTACCTTAGTCAGTAAACCTATTTACTACAACACTGGTGTGCCGATTGGAAGGAAAAATTACCTGGACAGGGTGGCCTATGTAAGTGGTTGTACATTTTACATGTCGTGGTGAAAATTGAATGTCATCAATTTCTTTTCACCGTTATTTCCCCTCCTCAAACTGGATGAGTATCATTCCTAATTTAAATTTTACGATCTTTGAACATTTAAAAACCGTGATATATTGATTGATTATTTTTTTTACATTATTCTTTGTCAAGGATTAGTTTTAAGTATATCACTTTTTTTAAAGGTGTTCTCCACTGGTGCATTCAAGTTTGGAGATGCTGGCATTCCTGGAAGTCCAGATTTGACTGCAGCCAGCGAAGGAAACCACAGCCTGTTTGCTCCATACTGGGCCAACATGGATCCAAGCAAAGGATCAACATTTCACCATTTGTATGAAAGATGCGACTCTCCAAGAAGATCTGAAATACTAAAGAGGGCCGAGGAAGAGATAACCCTTTTTCAGAAGTTTTCAGCTTTTAATGTCAGTTCAGTTTTTGTTGTGACCTGGGATTCTGTTCAACCAAATTCTGTGTCAAATAGGGTAAAGTTTTAAAAAGAATAAGGTCGTTATCTTAAAACTATAAATCTTAGTCTGTTAAATAACTTTTTCTAGTGAAAAACATTAAATCTTACTTTTTAAAATTTTCTAAATGATTAACACATTTAAATTGCAGACAGATGAAGAGATCACCTTTCAGGCAGTCCTTATTAGCGGTCATGCAACAGAAACTATCAATGGACAAGTTGTTTTTGCTGGTACATTTTAGAAAGTGATCATATTTTGCTTTTTTTCTTTAGTTTAATATAAATATTATTTTGGTAGTGAAAAAGAAGAAAAAAATATTAATAAATGGAAGACTATAAGTAAGATAATTTTTTTTCTGTATTTCTGTGCAAATTTCGTTTACTGCAGACTGTGTTTCTGTCACATTATGCTGTTTTATCCTGTCTTATGTTTTGATAAAGCCAATTCTATGCTTCCCTTGCTTTTCTAGCTTTAACAAAGTCCACCCTTTTGTTATTTTTGTTTAAATATTGGGTATAATTCTTCTCTTACTGATTGAAAAAAGGGTCAAATCACCAAATCTATTGTATGTAATACAATGGTTAATTCTTGTTTGACGAAAAGGTTTGAAAAGAATTTTTTAATCACTTGATTTGAACTGACCTAATTCTTTCTTTCTTTTTTTGTTGTTGTATGTATTGAAGCTTTAATAACAGCTTATTGTTTTGGGTTTTTATGATTTCTTGAAGGACACTAGAGCAATGTTCACTCCATCTTTGATTACTACACACTTTGAAATTCATAGTTTTTGTGTGGATGGGTGAGGAGGGGGGAATTTTTCACAAGATGTTCAGTACATAAAAGCCTAGCGTTTTTGAATACAAAGTTAATTTATATCTTTTAACCTTCCACATCACAGTAAAGCCCTCTTTTCATAATGAGTACATATCATTATTGATTATTCATTTTCAGAGGGCTTTTTTTGCTTTCATTGTCAAATACTTGCACCAAACCATTTATTGTGACCTCTTCTACTTTAATCTTCAACTTTGTCACTGTTTTGTTTTTTATTGTTTTTTATTTTCTAGATGAAGAGACATCCTATCTAATGTTCATCTATCAGTTAGGAGCATTGAACTGGAAATATGTATACAATTGACCAATAAGTATTGGTTATACCATCAATGGGGAGGTAATAGACACAGGGTTAGGTAATTCGCTGGATGTGACAAACTTACCAAAACTGCATGGAATCTCAGGTGGGCCTTTTATTCATTGTAAAGTAAGAACATTGGTGTCATAACATAGTTTTTTTTTCCTTTTGAGACAAAGATTTTATAGATGGATTAAATCAGCTTATGTAGGCCTATTTTTTTATTTTTTTTTAAATACAGCATTTATTAATTTGACTGATTTGTGAAAATGACTGATTAAATATGTATTTTTTAATATTTTGTTTTATTAACCAATTAATAACATTTTACAATTCTGTTATAATGAATATTAATTTCAAATTTCTATTTAATGCCACTCATTTATTTATAGTTCCTTGATGGTAAAATTTCAGGTCATCAAGGAGTGATGTTATTCCAAATTGGGCAACTGGCCAGCCCAGAAGATAAATGCCAAAGATATGTATGTCAACATTCCAGGCTGATGTCCAACAGACAATACCAATCTGATATAGCGCAGCTATACAAATGCCCATGCACAGCTGACAGACTAGGCTTACAGTGGAATCTCTGTGAAAGAAGAGGCGAGCAAAATGATATTGAATGCTACGCCATTAGTTCCACTGCAAAAAGAAGGCTGTTACAAGGCAACATTAGAAATAAAGTAAGGAGTTCTCATATTTTATTACTCAAAGAAGCAGGTTCCTCAGGTTACTATGGACTTGAGGTACAGCATTTCACGGCTACGTCACCATCTACAATAAATGTGTTGAGAAAGTCTTGCCCCAGTATTTCTAGCACCTTCTGCAGTCTCTGCCTCTCCAAACTCCTGCCCCCCCCCCCCCCCCCCCCCCCCC